TCTTTATACAAATTTTGTAACGATTACTTAAGATTTGACTAGAGTATTTGAATATGGTAAAATGCAAAAATATATTCGGAATGTAGTTGAGAATTTCCAGAATTCTGAGTCAACCTCAATAGTCAATATTATTACACATATAATGGCTTGATTTGTCAAATTGAAGAATATTACTTTTCTCACTATTATATATGAATTTTTTGTCTTATATTTGATGCGAATTACTGATGTAATTTAAAATCATTCTGATATCTCATCACAAAATATGATTTTCCTAATTTTTAGTTAATAAAATATATATGATTTGGTTTGACGTTCATCACGACAAAGATGGGGAAATCTCATTAACTGCGAATAGTAAAGTTAACAAAGGCCAGAATATGAACAACTGTACCAAAGCTTATCGTATCTAATTACAAACTAAATATAAGCCAAATTATCCGTATGTTTAATTAGATAAAACTGGAAGGAACATATTATAAGGCGTGCGATAAACTTTATTCTGTATGAGTATGACTAATTCAATGCATTCGAACTTATTGAGATTGATCAAAAACTATAAATAAATTCAAAAAATGAGTGGGAATATAACATAAAAATTGTTTTGCACATGCAGAGGGAAATGATGCATTAACAGAAACAAAAGGTGAAGGGACAACAACACGGCCTTTGCCTACGCAAAGAGCCATAGTGTGGATATATATATAATGTTCATATTTAAAATTCAACATTAGAGATATGGGAGATTCTGATTGATATCCGGTGGGATCTCTCTCTCAACTGTCATTATCTTTCAGTATCTTTCCATCTCTTCAAACCCTCCTCATATATATAACCAAACCACCCATCAGTATTCTCCATAAGTTCTTCCTTCTGCACACGTTTTAATTTAGGCCAGTTTTTGTATTTGTAATATACACTGATCAAAAGAATGGCAATGGGTAGAGTATCTTTAGAAAAAAAGTTCCATGTATTAGCAATTGATGATAGCATCATTGACAGAAAGTTGATTGAGAGACTCCTCAAGATTTCTTCTTATCAAGGTAAATCCCAATACTGAATTATTCTATTGAATTGATTTGTACTTTTAATTTTATGATTATAATAAATTGGATTTTCCGTGACGGATTTGATTATTAACTGCAGTTACTATTATGGATTCTGGAGTAAAGGCTCTTGAGTTTCTGGGGCTGCTGGATGATGACAATGGAAGCATTGAATCTACCTTTACTTCTACGACACAAAATCATCAAGAAAAAGTCGATTTAATTATTACAGATTATAGTATGCCCGGAATTACTGGTTTTGATCTCCTGAAAAAGATCAAGGAATCGAAGTCATTAAAGAACATCCCAGTTGTGATAATGTCATCAGAAAATGTTCAATCTAGGATTAACAGTTGCTTGGAGAGCGGAGCTGAAGAATTCTTGCTGAAACCAGTTCAACAATCTGATGTTAATAAACTTAGACCTCACTTATTGAGAGGAATGCCTGAATCAAACTCTTTTGGTTATTAGCTTGGGATAGAATGTTGAGAGACTAGTCTAACATTTTCATATAGGTCGATAGATTTACTGATTACTTGGAGTAACCCCCTTTTTGACTCTGTAAATGTAAATTCATGGTAATAAATGGTCAAAATAGTTTTAAGGTAAACAATCCATTTTATCCTTTCCAATTTTTTATTTATATTTATTATTATTATTATTATTTTTGCGTTCTTTTTCTCAATCATTCATTATTTAGTACATATTATCTTTGATAATGGTTTTCGTGCAAAAGCTATGTTAGTATACTATAATATAAGAATAAGTATCTAGTCACACTTTTGTATTTGTTATTATTTTTGTCTATTTGAAAAATGAGGGACAAAGAATTCTTTTTATGCCCTATTCGATGGAAATACTTATCGAAAATAAAATATGTTAATTGGTTAAAGATTGAGAATAAAAGTTCGATCAAAAAATAGTCGAGGGCATAAGTATGATAATAAATAAAGGTTGGAGACATTTAATGCAATTAAAATTTGATGCACCTATAATAAATTGTGGTATCAATGTAGTCACTATTTTCTTTATTCTTTGTTACTATTTAAACCCAATTTTAAAAGTATCTCCAATGCATGCTTTTGATTGCTATGTAGCCAACATCCTTGTTGAAAGACTTCTAGTCATTGATGTCTAATGAATAGAGACTAAAGTTCAAAATTGTTCTTCAACGATTTCTATCTACAACCTAAAAATGCAACTCTAGGTGTCTTTTATTTTCTTTAAAGAAACATAAATTTTTCTTAGTCAAGTATGTCTATAAGAGAGTTTCTAAATTTGGACGAAACTCTACATAATGTCTATTTTTCATTTAGCACGTTAGCTTAATAGAGTTCCTCTCATATTGTATTGGCTAGTGATTATCTTAAACACGGTCTATTTTGGTTATGTGGTGAATTTTATTTAGCAATGCAATTAACTACTGGAGAGGACGCGTTCGTTTTGAAGACAAGTTGGCAGAAGAACGGTTAACATTATCAAGAAACCTAAGAACTGAAGAAAAATTTCAAATTTCTCCTACTTCTATCCACTGAAAAACCACATATTAGTAATTATATGGTTCTATATTTTGAAATACGCTTATATGTAAGTTCGAGATATACAATATTAGTGATTCTTCATAATATGTTTTGGCTTTCGCTGTGGGTTCTTTGTGAGTGAGAGAGGGTTTTTTACATTGCCTTTTACTGATGACAGAAATCTGAGAAACAAATCTTACTCACCTAGCTATGATTTTTACTTCCTAATATTACTAGTTTTGATGCTCAAAGCTGGAGTAATAAGAGAAATAACTATTTGAGAAGAAAATATTTGAATTGCGTGTGCTTATTTTCAAATGAGGGGATATTTATAAATTTCCCTCCCAGTCTTGGGAGTAACTGGGTCATTTAGGGAGAATGACAGATAGCGACTCCTTGTTCGCATCATAGTAACCGATTCGATTAAAAGAGTCATGCTTTACTAGTGTGTTGACTGCCTGTAATTAGCTTGGATGGGGGAGAGGTACGGTTCATTTTATGCGAACCTCACACCTTCATTCTCCTCGCGTATTGTTATATGCTTCGCAAGTATTTTGATAAGGTTCGCAAAGCAGGTTTTTTGGGTTAACCACTTTTGGTATTAATACGAAATGG